AATTGAATACAACTGATGGCCAGCTGTCCAAGCCAGTCCGATATGAGTCAAGAGCCAAAGCCATTGAAAAATCTTTAAAAAAATTGGGGTGGCTTAGCTCGGCTATGCCTATGCCAGGATATACGTAGCGCAAGCTTATGCGCACAAAATGAGAGGCGCTATCAAGCGGCTCCGGTGCAGCGTCAGACTTGGCTACTGCGCAACGGAGGTGCACAGCTGGGCACGCGGCGGCGCCAGTGCGTCTGCCGCAGCTATGACGTCACTCCTCTGGAATGTGCAGACCAGCGAGGCGCGCATGGTGGCGGTGGAGCGCGTGGCGGCGGCGGCGGCTCTGGCGCGCCAGCCGTGCGCCGTGTGACGTCACTGCTCCTCGCGCATGCGCAGACCGGCGAGGCGCACGCGGCGGCATCTCCGGCCACTAGCTGTGCGCCATGCGACGTCACTGCTCCTCGCGCTTGCGCAGCATGGCTCTTTGGGAGCCACGCAAAACTGCTCAACCTCGGCCAGTGTAGCTAACTCTACAAAATAAATAACTACTGTAGCTCTTCTGTTGTGTCGTTCTTCACCAAAAATGAAACGCCGCGGAAATCCCTCAGATCTGCCTGCTCGCTCGCTTCAATGGTCGGTTCTGTCCTTGCGACAAAGTGGCCTTTCACACGTTAACAGCGGATAAGGATGTGTTCTTTGCCAAGCAGTTCTTCCTACATTCGTTTCTTTGGGGACAAGGAAACAACCAGTCTGTACAAGTGCCTACACAAGACATCCAGTTAGGAAAGCCGACCATTCTGTCAAATGAAAAAGTCTCTATTAAACATAGTGGAAAAGCGATGCCAGTACAACTTCTTCCCAAGCAATTACATACAAGAAGTCGGATGGCGTAGAATGAATGCCATGGAAGCTCACTTCAGGTGTTTGCTCAGCAGCATGGAGAAGCATTTATGGCAATTTATGGCATGTTGCTAGGCAATCGTATTGCATAAGTGAAATGTTCTAGCATTACAAGCGTTTAACGATACTTTGAGTTCTCAGACGCCAGACGCCTACATTCACGGCGCTCTTCATCAAATAGTTTAACGCGTACCATGTGTACACTTGACAGTTGTTACTAGAATGAAGCGATACTACCGCTTGGGTGAAAGAGCGCACAAGATTTACACACAGAAGGCAGGCAAACAAAAAATCACACATACACAGCGCTGTGTACGTGTGACATTTTGTGTGGCTGCCTTCGGTATGTAAATCTTGTCGCTGCTTCACCCAAGCATGAACAACCAACTTGCCCAAGCCTCCGTCTTCTCGATACTACAGCTAATCGGGCTGATAAACCTGGTGATCTTCCAGAGCCTCCCATACTCTCGAGCTCCTTTTTCTCAGAGCGCAAAGGTGGTCGAACACCTCCTCGCCTACGTCACTCCTCTTCGCCTACGCTTCTGGTCACATGACCTCCCCATTAACCAGTCAGCGTCGACACCTCACTCCTCCCCTTCAACCAATTAATGGCGGGCCTCGCAGCCATGCTTTTATCTAGGCTTCATGAAATGCCGAACACCTAGCCAAAGAATGTTTCACATTGAAAACATGAGAGATACTCCGTTTGTGAGACTACCTACTCGTGCCTGCCAGTGATGGCCCACCACTGAACAGTTTGAACATTGATTTTAGCATTGCCTTCATTTCTCACCCTCACAATAGCGATAAGAAATTAAGAGCTCCTAAATAGCGAACCGGAACGAGCATGGCTCCTCAGAAAATGTAGGGTGTTTGGGAAGCCAAAAAATTAGCAGAGCAATCTTTTTCCTGGTGTCCAAACCTTCGACATTCGAGATGGTGCCAGGGGTTTTGCTCGTACGGTTGGACCCTGAAGTTCACTTAGGAGTACACTAAAAATCTGCAGTAAAGTGGTTCGAGAAATTTAAGGACCATCCGGCTGACACGTAATTTGCTGCAACAGTTTCCAAAGGTCCCTGGAGGACTCCTCGGTCACTGGCGGGACCAGTCTCCAACTCCGGCCAAAGCGTACGGCGAGTTCTTGCGATTACCTCGACCGTCAATTCTCTCGGTGTGGCCTCGGCAACACACAGTGTTATAGAGCCGGCGAATCACATCGTCGAGTTCCAAACAGTTGCTCGTAAAACTTCTGAGAAAGAGTATTAGCTAATGCGCGTCGCCATCGTTGCGGCGTTCCACCCCCCAGGTGTCGAAGCTTGCATGGACTGTCGGCCGGAGAGTGACCTGCAGCGGAACAGACACCCGCTGCACCCACTTCCTCTGCCCCACCAAGATCGTTGCAGGCTTGACGCTTCCACGACGTCCTCGGGCGAAAATCGAGGGATGACACTGAAGATGTGGTAAACGTACGAGTCGGAGACTTATTCTAGGCACAGCACCCATGCCGAGAGATTGCATCGGTGCAACTTCTTTGTGCTTTCGAAAGATAATCCAAGCCGAGCCCTCTAAAACTGCCGTCGCATCAAATGGGAACCTTTTGCTACTGGTCTCAGACTGTATAAACAGCCATTAGGTGAAGGTTCCCATTTCTGTAGACTTTTCGATGGTTCAATGTTTGAAGCAGCACGTTTCAGGCAATTGCACCAACTGGGTTGAATCCATAAAGGAAAAAAAACTTCAACATCCCAACTGCCTAGTGGCGCACTAGTGGCGTTGTCCATACCGACCCAGTTGAAAAATGCGGGCTGGGGGTTGCTTGGTTGCACCACCGACAATCATTAGTAGCTGCGTTCGATTTTCTTGTACCTCCTGCACCGGTGCAGAAAAGTGTAAGGCGGTGTACTTTGGGTCATATCTCAAAACACATACTGGGAGTACACTGACCTACACCTTTACACCTTCCTGCACCTGTGCAGGAGGTGCAGGTTGTGGGATGGTCACGGGTGGTGGTAACCGAAGGATTCAGCGGCGATCTCTAATCAGGGGATGCCAAGCCTACTCCCACACTCTGCAGCTTTCTCTCGAGAACACTGCTACGGGCAGGTCGGAACATCAGCCACACAACTGATCGCTTCTCTAAAAAATAAAAGCCGTTTACAATTCCCTGTAACGCCGGTTAGAGCGCAGCTCTTGAGGAGGAGGATGGAAGTGTACTGAGGGATAGGTGACTTCCTTGAGGTCACGTGACCTCAAGGGGGGGTCGTGTGACATCAGGGGGTCACGTGACTTTAGGGGATCACGTGACCTCAGGTGGGGCACGTGACCTTAGGGGGTCACTTGACCTCAGAGGAGGGGGGAGAGGGGGTCACATGATCTCGGAGGAGGGGGGAGAGGGGGTCGCGTGACCTCGGGGGGGAGGGTCACGTGACCTCGCGGTTACGCCGACGGCGACTCCGCTCAAGCCGGAAACGGGCCCTTAAGAGCTGGACTCTAAAAAGAGAAGCATGTACCACAATAGGACTGGGCCCAACGGTGTTTATTGGAACACCAAAAGACACACTGTCCCAAAACCCCCGCACCGTCAAGGTCAGATGAAAGGCTCACCCTGTCGACACTGTCCCAAGAACGCAGTCCAGAGTGGGCATAGTAAGACCTTCGCAACACGTCCGATCCCTATCGCATCTGCGGGAGAAGTCCCTGCGTTCCCGAAGTCGGGAACGCGCGTCGACCTCCTCCCCCGTGGGCGTCGTCCTCACCCAAAACAACTAGATTCCCGGATGAGCGGGTGGACGGAAAAAGGTCCCCCCCGGGAGACAGTGAGGAGGAAAGCCCCCCAAGCCAGGTGGCTCTCCTACACTTCACGAACAGGTTGGAGCTCACGGCAACCAGGCCAAGCGTTCCAAACCACGGCCGTTATACTGGCCATCGGGGAAGGGCGACCAACGCTTCCCACAAGGTAAATCGAACAAAGCTAATGTCGAACGCTTGCCGGGATGCTTGCTGCGCCGACGGGAGACCCGTAACCCCAGAGGTGATTGCATTGCCTTAGGATCTCGTCACACTCCCAATATTCACATTAACTAAAGAGCATGTTGGTAACAATGACTGGCAACAAAAAGAATAAAACAAAGTCCGGACAAGGGACAATGAACATTTCTTTCATTGGTAACAATGACTCCCAATAATAACAATACTCCCAATCATTTGTGCATTTTCTCGTAACAGCACAACGGGGAGGGGGGGGCTTGCGCTCAGTGTCTTGCGAAGTTCTCGGGGTAGTCCCAATTAAGCAAACCCAGCTACCAATGCTAGATCAGCAAGTTCTGTAACTATGGTACACTGCTCCAGTACTTGCAGCTCAATAGCATAGCTTGATTCGCCTTGCACCCCTGAAAAGCCTCGAAATGAGCACAATCAATATTGTTGGTGTTTCTTGGAATCGCTAAAGGTGCTGGGCATTTTGGAAGTACCAGATTCCTTGACATTGCACGGGTAAGACGTATAAAAACTTGTGCGGCATCATTAGTGGTTCAAATCGAGCATCTAATGCAGTATTTAAAAGTCTCCGAACCACTGAGACAGGTGTTAAACCGTCTTGAACAGTATACAAAAATAGATCAAAAGAAAACCAAAGAAAATTATGATAAAGTGGCAAATCATCTCTAATTGCAGGCTGATCTGTGCTTGTAAATAAACAATTCTTTTAAAATTATGCCTAGTGCCACCTATGTCAGCAACAAATCATTACCCTTTCTGTGTTTTTTTCTCACGGGCTACGAAATGTCCAAAGATGTAAGCACTCTGCGTCAAGCCCGACCCTCATGCACACTTCAGCAGCCAAGACGTTTAGCGGGCGTCGAGACGCCTTCTACAAAGGAACACTGGTGTCGCCAAAGCCAGCGCTTTTGTCCGCACGTTGGTACCTTCTAAAGCTACATCTCGGCGCTTCCAAAAGGGCCTGCCTACACACCCCTAGGTAGCAGGAAAGGCACCCGCTAGAATTACGTAAAAACGTCAAGAATATGTCGCATGAAGGTCACCATTTGGAAGGCGAACTTGCGGGACGCCCCGTGCTAAAAAAAATAAACAGACATGCTGCAAAAGACACTCACCTCAGCTTCCTCGAGTGTTGGGTAGGCAATCTTCTCGCAGACAAGCTGGGCTATCCTGTCACCTTTGCTCACTGCAAAGTATGTGCCGTCGGCGTGAACTTGGAGCACACATGCAGAGGGCACAAATGAAACAACATCCGCCACCGCTCCAGGTTTGGGGGAAGTGCACAAACACACCTTTAAAGTCGGTGTCGCCGAAGTTGAACAGGACCACTCCGACGTTCCCTCGGTAATCCTGATCAATGACACCAGCTGCAAAAAAAAAAAAAGAAAGCCATTGATCCTATTAGTTTTCTTGACACCTGACCAGAGAAAGATCCATAGTAACAAAGCTCCCAAATTTTCTCCGACGTTCATGCCCAAAGTCTAGTATTCTTCCAGTTTGAGCGCTACTTTGGAAGATCCGAGCCGTCCACTGATGCATAACTACATGGTAGCATCGTTCACGAGGTCCTCTGAACCATCATTACCGGGTCTGGGAAGATTTCCTCAGCCGTCACTCGAGACAGGTTCTTCGAGATTGGAAAGATTGACAACCTTTTCTTCCGTAAACAGGAGCAATTTCTGTGATGCTTAAAGGAACACTCAGGCTCAATTTTAAGCTTTTCTTAAAGTCAACATCTTTTAGTTTTGAGGAGGATCAGAAAGGTAAAACATTGCATGTCTGGAGAATTTTAAACGAGCATTGTCTGTAAAAAAGAAGTGCTACAAAAACTACATCCCAAAAAATCTAGACAGTATTTTATCCATACAAAAGCGAGCATTGCGAGCAATTGGTAACATACAACTTCTTAAAAGTGCCACACCATATTTTAGGACGTACCAAATACTCAACGTAAAAGATCTAAATAAATACAAACTATCACTTGAAATTTGGCGGCAATTTCAGCTCGATAAATTGTTGTTCCATGCCAAGTCCCACGCGAAAGATAGCCCGTATAATTTAAAGCAAGATTTATTAATAAAATCACGTTTGCGAAGGAATTACGGAGACCAGAGGTTGTGTTTTCTGATACCAGACCATTAAAACCAGCACCCGTATATTTTAGCTACACTGGATTGCGTACAATCAGTCTATCAATATAAAAATATTGTAAAAGAATGTTTACTCAGAGAGCAATAAAACCGAATATGTTTTAAGCAAAATACTTACAATGATTGATAACTAGCAAATGTCTTTTCACGCCATGTTGTTTTGAGATGTATACTGTAAACGATTTATATTTCGCGATTTAGGTCAAAGCTGAAGTTTTGAAAATAACTCGCGAACTCTAAGTTTTGTGACATGGTGGGATCTCAATATAGATTCTAATGTGTTTATATTTTATCGGAATAGTATGCGGGACCTATATTTCGCAAATTGTAGGCGATTCGCGAAAGTTAAGTCGTTTACAGTATTTGTTTTGTATACAGTTTTAGTTTAGAGCGAAATCGTATCACTCCGCATGTGTCATGTTTTTGCTACAGTTGTTGCCAAAAGGGTGGCATGGCCCTGTCAGGCATTTACGCCTTTTGCCATGTCCCCTGAGACGTCCCTGTACAGTTATGTCTCAAATAAAGGCATAAACAACAATTATCTGAGCGGGAAAAGGCAGCGAGAACACACAAATATCAGCACTGATTTTTTCAACGAATACAATATGCTATGTTTCGTCAAAGGTGTATCAAAGACCCCTTTAAAGGGACACTGAAATCTCCAAAATGTTTCGAGTGCCTGAATCGAGCATGTATGTCACAAAATAAAGTTTCCGCCAACAACTTCTGTAACTAAATTACGATGCGAGACACATCTTCAGTTATGAAAGAATCCAAAATTAAGACCTATACCGAGAAATTAAATCCAAAATAGAAGTTAGCTTGGATTCGCTCCAGAATTAAAACGTTCCTCCTGGCGTAAATGTTACTCTCTACGCTAGACACCCTTTTTGCTTTCAGGATAGAGAGATGACCTGCACTCATAACACCTTAGGTTCCTCGTGTTACCAGAAATAATTTGTGTCGCTCAGTGAAGCCAGCACAGGCACAGCAGCGGCACCTATCTCCCACCCTCACTATACCTACCATATTGGAAAACAAGTGGCGCCACCTACGGTGAATTGGAGTCACGAATACACCGGGTGCAGACTATGGCCCGGAAAATATGAACTATTCGAAAATTTGAATATTTGCGCAACCCCACTCTTGCACATAGTGCTTAGGCATTCAAAAGAGAAGGAATTGTACTTTCTTCATTTTCAGTGGCATCGCCAACAATACCCCTACTAGGCACTTTGTTTTCTTTTCGAAAACAGCTCCCTTTTGACGCAGACATGGTGCAAATTGTGCACATATACACCCTTTGGAGCAGCATGTAATTCGTTCTGGCGCAAATGGCGCAGCGGTTCTACCACTCGGTCTGATGAAAAAGTTACGGGACTTATTTTGTGGTGCAAAAAGCGAGGGCAGCACGGTAATGCACACGAGGCAGATGCAGGAAGGGACCTTAGTGTCTCCTTATACCAAATTGCGTCGCTCTGTGAACACCTGGAGCTGCGCTACACGAGCTTGCGTGGCGTAGTTCCAAAGAACGCCACCAGAGAAGCCCTCTTCATCGCGATGCAGCGGCCCGGCCGCTTGTAAGAGGGACCGGCTGGCCACCGAGCTAGCAGAGCCCGCATGGGCAGACTCCGGAGTGGCTGCACGGCCACTTCATCAGCGTGCGCGCTCGGTCGTCGGCCACAACCTCGGCATTACCGAAACGTGGCCGTCCACACCAGTGTGACGCAGACAAACTAAGGAAGCGGAAGGATGACATTCATGCTTTTACATTCACAACTCATTAAAAATGCTAAGTGTCCTTGGAATTTTTTTTTATGTGTGTGGTTAGTTATGTTAAATCCCTTGTGGGATTGACAGGATTCTTAAATAAATAAATAAATATTCTTTCGACTGTTCCAAATGCGAAGACTAAACTAAAAAGGAAAAGGCAGGCTAAAGAGACTTTATATCCTTACAAAGGCCGATTCTGAGAAGTGCAGGCCTTCCCTTCCTCGTCTTTATCAAAAGGGTCACAAGAGTTAGCACAGGGTCATTTCATTCTATCCCAACATCAAGCAAACATTTATGCGTACATACAGCGTATTTCATGAAAGGTGGACAAATTCGATCATGTGAAAACTACGCATCACGCACAAAAGAAAAAGGCTTCTGCCATTTTGGTCCGCAACCTAAGTTCTCGCTGCTGCCGACCTCGAAGTTTTAGCCACTGCGATGAACCTACTAAGTCGAACACCGCATTCAATGTAATCAAACGTAGCGTTCAACAAAAAAGACAGCAAAATCCCGTCTCAGTGTGTGTTGAGCAAACAGACACGTCGTCCATGTCTGTTGTGTTTTCTACTCTACATGACCGGCCTTTAAATATTAAAGGGAAGATGGGGCGGTTCTGCATTTGAGAAAAACACTTGAATTGTGTTAATTTTGCCGTTAGAATAACAGATATCACAATTATATTTCAATGCGACGCGCCAAAGAGCTATAAGAGCAATTTCAAAATAGGGCTAAAGCCCCGCCTCCCTAGCCTTTGGCAGCCAAAAGATCTGTCGATGACGTCACGGACAGCGACTGTCTTTCGCGTTTTCTCGCGTTTACCAATTCTTGCGCAAAAAATGGTTTGGGTATTCGGGTTCACAAGGTAAAAATAAATTAGAATTCACTTCTAACTCATTTTTTTTTCAAGAAGCTCTGTAGCTTCCCTTTAAAGAATATTGTATCAACAAACTCTCCTGTTCAGTTTTAGAGGTGTTTTACACACCTTGTTTACCGACGCCAGATCCAGTGTATACAAATCACTGCAAAGCAACGAGACTGTTTTCTGGCTTTCCAAAGTATTTTTTTTTATACATATGACATTAAAATTAGGGCTCCATGGTGCTTTCGGCTTTTCTTTTCACTGTTAACCATAAACATCTTCTATTATGGCTGGTGGCGTAGAATATTAAAATTGTAATCTTTTTGCTTCGCTTAACATCCTTGGTCTTGTCCGTATGCATTGAACTGCTTTCGCACGAAAAAACACAGACGGACACTACAATGTGCATAAAAGAAAAAAAAGGAAAAACTTCAGAAACATATTTGACACAGCTTCATGAAAAGATTGGGGCCCAGTTCAATAGTTGTAAATGGCTTCACGCCGTGCAATAACGTCCGCATGTTTCTTCGCGTTGTCACCTATTGTTTGTCAAAAGCTGTGTCTCTAGTAACAAATAAAAATAAGAAAAAAAAAAAGGGAACCCTGTTCATGCCACGCATGAATCAAAGGTTTATCGCTGCATCCGCAGTGGAAAGCAGCAACGCGTTGGCATCGCATCTCTCGCACGAGGCGTGGTCGATTGTTCACATGGTGTCTTTGCCGGTCGGGTCACTGGTTTCGTTTTCTCGCCGCTACCAAAATGGCGGACGTAGTACTCGGCGCGCTACTAGATGGCGCTCTACATTTCACATATGGTCTATTGTGGACAATCAGTGGCCTCGAGGACCCTCTGACAAACACCATTCTCGCAACCGATGCAAGTTGGCAGAGTTGTTACAACCTCTTCTGAAGTTGAACAGTTGTTTAAATTTTCGGAAATGCATTAAAATTTAGGACCAGAAAAGTCATTCGCAATTCCACAACTACCACCGGTCTACGCCGATTGAGATCAGTTCCTCGAATCAATCGCCATTTTTCACTTACATTTTTAAAAAGTGCAGATGCGATCGAACATGTAACGATAAATGAAAAACTATTTACCCATAGGGGCACCATTCTAAATTGCATCATATATCGCTGTACAACCGCAGCATTATTGCTGCAAGGACTAACGTTTGTTCGAGGGTGTGGTCACATATTTTGGGAGACACAGAAGGATGATTACAAATTTCGAAAGTGCCCGATTGTAAATAGACGTTTCACCGGCTAGCTTGTTATTGAGAATTAACTTTTCCAGCACAGCTGCCACTTACGCTGGAGGTGTGGAATATCTGTTCTGCTGTCAGATCGTCACACTCTACTGTCTTTATCTGCACTGTTTAGAACAAGGTTCCGCTGGAAACAGTGAACTGCCGACACCACAAAACATATCAGTCTCCTGCGGAGTTGCTCAGCAGCTTGGGTTGGGCTTCACCGCACGGCCAGTTTGGCAAACGCTTCACCTACTCTACCCCACTGCAGCAGTACATACTATTTGCACTCTTCCTTCCGCTTGCCTCTGCTCGGAGCCGACGGGCACTGTGCAACTATATGGGAGGGCCGAAACAAACACACTTTTGCTCGAGTGGCGACATCTCGGGACCCAGGGATCTCAGGTTTATCCCCTGCAACTTTCGATCTGGATGAGCATTGTACCGGCATGCGGTCGTGTATCACTACTGCGTGGTGCACGTTAAAGACCCCAGGCTACAGTTGTACCGCACTGGTTAAATTTTTCATCTACAGCTGGGAGACAAGTCGCCCGTTGAGGCAGACTAAGTTCTAGGCTGTATAAACATACGCACATCCCAATTATGTTTGGTGACATCTCATCAACCTTTAACCCTTTGCGGTCATGTGTCGGGCCAGGCCCGACATCGAAGAAACGCGCTTCCGGTCAGGAGTCTGGCGTCGCCGACACGTGTCCTTTTAAACTTACTCCTTCGCTCTTTTTGCTGGATTGGTGGCGCCATCTCTTGGAAAACACTTCAATCACATCACTCTTGAAAGGGTTCGAGTTTCTTCTCATAGAGGGCAGGACTAGTCATAAAAAAGAAGAAAAAAGCCATGCTCTATGTCGCATGTTCTTTTTTGCGCAACTACGGTGGCTATAGGGGTTGGTGTATCGAGCACTCCGCGTTTATAGGTAGTTCCACGTGGCGTCGGTTCATGACGGAAAAGTGGTGCCGTAGCCGTACCGGTGCATTTCTGCTGGAAGGGGCGTGGCGTGAAGCACCACGAAGCACGAGAGCGTCTCGTACTCCGCGTGTTCATGCAGGACACGCTTCTACGCTTGGTGCCATTGTGCGCCGCCCGATGGCACCAGGCGCAGAGTACCGGTGCCACCGGCGTCATGAACAAGTGGCATGCTATCGATTTTCTGTTCGGCACGCCTCCCCTTACAGCCACCAGAGCGCAACGGAGGAGCGCGCAAATTTCAACTTCGCTGGCACGATGGCTATAGGAGGTATTCACTGGACGCCATATTTGTGGGTGCTGTTTAGAGCGCATGCTCAGAACGAGCTCACATTAATAGCCTGCTAAGACCGGCAACCTTGATGGTGCTAAATGCACGCTCCAAAAGGACAGCGGAAGCTCGCCGTCAGCACGCGCTCAGCAGCAGCGCACACGGATACGGCCGCCAGTGAATACTCCCTATAGCCACGTTTCAGCCACACTCGTTTTATGTAACTCTCTGCGTGATGTAATTGAAAGTGACAACGATTTCAGTGAAGAGGATGACTACATCCCTCCATCAGAAGATGGAGAGGCGACCTGTGTGACTTGAGTGAAAGTAGTGATGAATATGAAACAACTGCGCAAGCCAGCGGCCGCAGAGTCGCTCCGCCACATTGTTCCAGAGTTTGTACACAAACAATCTCCAGGACTTTCCTGTCCTTACGTTCAGTGTGAGACATTCCCTTTGTACGCCGAAATAATTTTACTTTTCCGGGGCCCATCCGTACAAAATAGTTCCTGACCGGAATGACCATTAAGTTGGTCAGATCTGACCGCAACGGGTTAAAGGGGCACTCAAGTGCTTTTTGGAGAAGCTTGTTTTTGGAAGCATATAGTTTGTTGGCCTTCAGTCAATAAAAATGACCAGTTCTAAATGGCAAGGCGCCCTAGTAAACTCACAGCAATAGAAATACACAGGCACTATATCCTCTTGCGGGGTCCATCCCGTGTCTCCACCACCTCCATAGAATTCGACCAATAGAAATAGCGAACTGCGAAAAGATTGCTAAAGTTATTATTATTGCTCTTTTTAGGCACATGCACATTATATTTTTACAACAACGTCAAATCTTTGGCTGTAGGTGACGTAATACAGCTATTATTGCTTGAAAAAGAGCGAACTACGTTTTCTCCTCGCCTTGTTACGCGGGAGTGATGTGCCCACGCACATCACTCCCGGGTGTGCTACAGGCCAGCTGTAGCACACCCGGATCGAGGCACAGCCCCTCGAAATCCGGGTGGCTTGTCACGCAGCTCTGCCGGCCCTGCTGCTTGCGAACGGCGGCCGGGTAGGCACGGCAGCAGACACACTCTGCGACGGTTTCCATCGGCACGCAGCAACTGCATTGGCACCTTAAAACAGAAAACCAGCATCAGCTATACATATGAGAGGTATAATAAACAGCTCATCACCTACCAGTTGGTGTTCCCAAGCCGCTGGGTTGCGTCGTCGGTTTCGTCGTCTTCCTCCGGTGTCGACATTGAGCATCGCGAACTGTCGTCCGAGTCCGTCGCGTTCGGGGCATCGGCGTCGCGCGTAGGAGTGGCGTCGTAGGAGATTGAGCTGATATCTGCCGTCCGCCGAAGAATTTCCACCTCCAACGGTGTTAGATTTGGCAGGTCCATCTCCGCACGACGCAAGACCCGAAGTAAACAAAATGAGTCCCAACGAGAATCCATCAAATACGCGCACATTCGGAAGATCACTCCGCCGGTTCGAAGGATCAATCCGCCGGGAAGCCGTCCCTCGTGATTGGATGGCGCACGCCCTTCCCTGCTGCCTTCCCGTCCGACAGCGCCCCTGACGGCGTGCGCCTAGGCGCAGAACAGCGATCTTTGATTGGATTTTTAATAGGGAAATCGGCCGCCCTTGAATGTAATTTTGGGATTTCTAGGATGCTTAGAGCCCGCAGATTGAGTTATGACAATAAATAGACGATCGCAGAATCCACTTGAGTGCCCCTTTAAGCTTAACCTTTTTTTTTTTTTTTCGTTTGAATTGCTTGCAAACTGGTGCGACTCAGCTTGAGCGTGTAGCCTTGGCTATGAGGAGTGCAAGCTTGTCTGCTTCTTGTGCAGGCGTTGCACTGACGTCAGAACGCCGAGATCTCACTGGCTCTGTCGGAGAAATAGTGGGTAGACCACCAATGCCACCTGCCTTATAATCCATCCACTATCCTTCCAATTGGGGGCCAATCAGAACTTGGCGTTCAGAAGTAACTGCAACCCCTGCTCAAGAAGCGGACAAACTTGCACTCCGCATATGCTTGGATGCCATTCTACCGCACAAGTGACGAACCGAGTGCGCCAGAGCGTCGTGCCGTGAATTCAACAAAGAATGTCTTCACGCTTAGAGACAACACGCAAGCACCCTACATGGGCCACGCAGGGCGGTGTTCACACATTTTGATGGTGATAGTACACTCCTTTAAAAATACGTGTCCCCAAGCTCCGTTTCACTTGAAGTGTGAGCGTAGGAGAAGCTAAAAGAGCGAGCTCCGGGCTTGTAGCGTCCCTGCCAAGCACTGTTCAGAACCACATGTTCCCACTTGCAGCATCGGCTGCGTCTGGACTGAAAGCAAGTAAAACCCAAGCAGCGAAGGCTCCCCAGCGTTCGTAACAATCCCTTCTGTGCTATCCAACTGTCTTGCAGGAAGATATACGCGGTTAATAAGAAGAAGAGCAACATGCGCAGTCAAGCGTTATGAAAACACGTCAGTGTTGGCTGCCGCGATCTAAGTGGCTCCATCGCTCCGGCGAGCGACGACCAAACGTCAACACCAAGCCTAGTGTTTACCTCCGACGTCGATGAAGTGCTTGGCCGCAAGACCGGACCGTGGAGCTGCGGATCAAAAGAGGTACGTGAGCGATGCGACGTCGACCGCGCCAACGGCGAGCAAGTTTCGGCGCCGTACCGACGCGACCGTAGCATCCGTCGGGCACCGCTATCTGGATGTCCGTCAGGCACACGCATTTTCCCCGGCTTGGCACATTGTAGTCGTACGCACTGCGGAATAACGAGAACTGGAATGAGCGCGGCTTCTCGCGAGGGATGAGCCAAGTCCGCGTACAGCTCACCTGTAAAGATCGAAACCCGCGGCGCTCGGGGAACCTTTGGTCGGTGCATAAGCGTTCTTTGAAAGCTTCGCGAACTTCAGCGTAAGGGATGCGACCTGTCCCGGCATTTTCGAAACTGTCTGTATCCCCTGGAAGTTGACTTGGGTCACTGGGCCTATTCCCGCCAGTTTTGGGACGCTTCCCGCCTGTTCCACGCGTGACGTGGTGAAAAGACGACCAATTGCGCAGCTGACAAGCGTCGCCATCCTGCGAGCACCTGGAGAACCATTCGGAGGAAAGATGCCGCTGGTCTTGATGTGCGGGTTCCCGTGCAGCGGGAAGTCGCTTCGCACGCAGCAACTGAGGGACTTCTTCCAAGTCAAGGAAAGCGTCCAAGTGGTGGCCAGCGACGAGGAACGATCGCTACGGAACAGCGTCTTTGCAGGTCAGCTCGCTGCCATTCCGTCCGAGTCGTTGAGGGCGACGCAGTCTTATCTGTTGCTTCGCGTCTCGCACACTATTGCAGTGCAAACCTGTCTCCGGTGTCCTTCGTTTCACACTCTTCCAACCTTCCACTAGTCGGCGAGACAAATTAAATGGCTGGGATAAAAGAGCGGTGTTGTTTTCAATATTGTGGTTGTTGGCAAGTTTCACGCTGCACTCTACACTTGCCAGACCCATTCTCTTCACCGCTCGTTTTGGTCGCAAGCGTCGAGGAATATTTTGCAATCTCGTTTAAATTTGCGCGCGTAATGCTGCAAAGATGAACTGACGCTTGCCCTCATTTTTTCACTCAGATTCACGGAGAGAAACGCAGTTACGAGGCGAGCTTAAATCCGAGGTAATCCGGTGAGTGATTCGGAGAGAAAATAAACGAAATAAAACATCTCGACGATTCCTTTTCTTCGCAGCCTGTTGTCAAAGGAGCAGCTGGTTATTCTTGATTCTGCGAATTACATCAAAGGTAACGATGTCACCACTGTGCAGAAAATCAAATTTTTTTCGTCTTCAAGTGCTGCATTGATTCTACTATTGGGCACAAATTTCTATTCCTCGCGGCATTATCTTCCAGGTTTCAGGTACGAGCTCTACTGCCTGTCCAAGTCCGTCAAGACCACGCACTGTGTGGTGAGGTCCTGGTGGCTCTGAATGCACTCGTCTCCCAGAGGCTAAGCTCCGCCCATTCTTTCAGATCCACACTGACACAGCGGTGGACACGTGTTGGCAGTGGAACAGCCAGCGGCCCCAGGAAGAGCAGTACAGCAAAGAGATGTAAGATGGACGTCCCGGCAGTAGGGCGCGTATGTCTCCTGTGTCTGCTTTGGTCGCTAGATGCCACATTGGTGGCACTGGAACAGGCCCGAGGCAGCTGTGGGGATCAATCATACTGCGAGACTTGCCTCAATTTATTTTACGCAACTTTGAAGCATGATTTATTTTCGACTGAAAACAGTCTGCCCACTGACAGGTTTGCTACCCTCGCTGGTGTCATTCTCTAGAATTAATACATGCAAAGGCACTCCTTAACATCACTAAAGAGCTTCAATCATATTGGAGATTTCCTTAACACCGGCCTTCTGCCAATGCTGCCACGCAACATCAGTCTGGAATGTTGGCATGGACATTTTGTGACAGCTTACACCCAGTGAATTCAATAGAGCTGAAGTGGTGAAGCGGGTGAGTTGGCACATGACTTATAGAATATTAAGTGCTATACTCGGTGACAACTTTTCTTGGCAATGCAGTGGAAGTTGAGGAAGGCCCGCACATAGCTTTATCCGGCGCTCAAAATGGGATAGGGAAGCGCACCTTACCCTCCACTGCATTGCCGAGAAAAGTTGCTGCCAAGTATAACAAAGAGAAGGACCAAAAAGAATGCGAGCAGGACGAGCAACAGGTGTGTTTTGGAAGGGGTGGATTCCTTGTTGCAGTGTGCGCCAAAAAAGTCATCGGTCCCTAGTTGAAGCATGCTAAATAATGTAGTAGCATGTTTGAAACGTAACAATGGTCTGCAAGTTTGGTTCCCAGAAGCTTTGATGGCCGGGACGCCGCAATTGCGCCGACACTCACTCGTGCATTTCACTGGTGCTTCTAGGACCGGGATCGCGACAACTCCGGCTTTTGCGAGGCCGTCTGTCGGTACTCAAAAATAAGTTTGGACGCGCGGGGGGGCACACGCTGGTGGGAGGCATGTTTCGGGTGCTGTAGTGGGAAGGAGGCGGCCAAGAAAGGGTCGGAGGGTTTCTTGTCGGGACGGGTGCGATGGCCTCGTCCGTGACCGGAGGGCGTCCCCGCAGATTCGACGGACTGGTGCAGAGGTTCGAGGCCCCGGACTCCCGCAACCGGTGGGACAGCCCGCTCTTCACGCTGCACTGGGACGAGGAGCTGCCCCTGGAGGCTGTGTGGGAGGCCCTGCGGGGCAGGAAGGCCCCTCCCCCCAACCTGGCCACCCAGTGTGTGCGTGTCCCCCCTCCCACCGGGAAGGGCCGCTCGTCCTAAAACGGCCTTCCATTCCAGAGATGGCCCACCTAAAATTGAAAGCGAGTCTGGCGAAAATATGGGGTAGACTAGCTTTCCGCCTGACATAAAAAAAGCTCGCAAAAATGCCAGTTTAGCCTTTTGTGATCCTCGAAACTTGCGATTGCGGGGAGGGGGATGAACCAAAGACGACTGTTCTTTTCCGTCGGCAACATTCGCTCATCTCCCACTGTGATTATGTAACGCTGTTTTTGCCAAGGTCACCATTGGCTGGGGCCCCGCAATTACTCCGAGTCGGCTATCTTTTGGGGTTTTTTGAAAAAGTTACAAATCATACCGAAAATAGGGTGACACGCCTATGTCGCCAAGTCAACTTCGCCCGAAAGAACAAAAAAAAAGATAAATACTTTGGATCGAGCCAGTTTACGTTCATTTAAAAGGTGTCAAAGCGCAGAAAAGACGAAGAAGGAACACATATAATGTGGACAGGTAATAAAACAATATGGATGGGTGTTTAAAAAATGGGGCCAGTCCATGTACGTGTTCCTTCCTCGTATTTGTGTTTTTTGCCCCTTTAGAGCTTTAAACGAAAAAATATTGGCACAAAATTTACGTCGCAAAACTCATTTTGAGTTGGGACCGATTCAGAAGCGTGGAGCTCTTTCGAGACCTCGAAATAGAAGCGGCATTCGGACCTGCTCCAATGCATCTGGCCGCAAAAATATTAAGCTAAATTTTTTGAACATATTTTTTAAACGTACAAGAGTATGTCACAAAATGCATTCAACCCTGAAACTGCATTCACACGTGCGTGGATGCAGCGCACACATCATTCTCCTCTTCACTTCTTTGCATACCTCTTGTATGTTTTTTTCAGCCAATGGAAGAGCCTCCCATTGGCGGAGTTACTCCTACCGCCGCAGTGTTGCCAACCTCCACAACCGTTTCTTCCGCAAATTTTATCTGAAAATTTCCTAGATTTTCAGAAAATGTGTTAATTTGCGTCATTATTGAGATTATTGTTATGGAGTAGCTTATTCCTGTAGTTGGGTGGCCATTTATAGGTTAAACTTGCTTCGTTAAAACCTTTTTACATAATAAAACTTTGTTCCTTTGGCCTTGTGTGGTCCCCCAAAATCGCTGTTCTTACCTCTGAAGATTCTCTGGCCCCGACAATATGCAAAGAAGCCTTTTTCCCCGCTGCACTCGGCCGGCACGAGGATGAAAAAGGGAAGGAATGTGTCTCTAAAACCCTCTGAAACCCATTAAAGATCAATCCCTAGATTTGAACAAATTTCCCTTTGCCCCTAGACAATGACAGAATCCCTTGATCAAGAGAAAAATCCCCAAGGTTGGCAGCACTGCGTCGCCGTGACAGTGACCTCCAAATAGAAGCGATCTTTGAGCGATTACTTCCAAACGTTCTCACTCGCTCCAGACTTAAAATGCATTGCAACACAACAATAGTACGGATTTTTTTTTTTTTTAAGTGCTTTTTGTAACGTACGTGTGTCCTCTCCGTGCGGTCAAAAAAAGTTGTTTATCGAAAGTCTTGCCCAGTTGGAGAGATCGAAGGGCTTTCTGCTGGCAGGATACGTAGCGTGAAGTCTGGAAGCGCGTGCGAGCTGTCCAGTCCTTCCGCCGCTTCCCCAGGCTTGTCGCGCAACAAGCTGTCTGGTCGGCCGATGTAGCCTCCAATACTCCCTGGCCTCACTGGTCCCAGCAGAAAAACCACCGGGTGAAGCAGAATACTTAATACCGAAAGAATAAAACACGGAGGACAAGCACAGGACAACCACATTCTTTCAGAGTCCTGCGATTGTCCTCCGTGTTTTATTCTATTGATTTTATGTATTCATGTTCAACTTGCTTGCAACCAGTGAAACACAAGCCAACTTTAAATTGGAGGGTGCAGTAGTCTTTGAATTAACTCTTTCCACTTACGAATTTTGGTCTGTGCATCTTGGAACCATACTCGGTCATTTTCCCACGCTAAAACTTGATCGGTGTTTCCTCGGGGAGAATGGCATCATCACGGAAACTAGATTTCCCCGACAAAGAAGGAGGATGCAAGCTAGCTGGTGGAGGTTATGTGCAGTGAATCTGCCTTTGTAAAATCCCGGTCTCGGCTGAATTCACCGTGTAGGATTTTTCTCGCGAACTAAGGTCCTTAGCATAATTGTGGAAATATCCCAAAATGGTGCTCGGTTGCGCCGCTTGAGATTTGCGGGTCTATACCCAGGGTTCGTTGAAAACGTCTTTGTTCAGTGACAACTAAGTCGTAACAGTTTGGATCCAATCAAATCCGTTTATATTGCGCCTTTTTATTTATATTGATGCTCTTCGCCACGGAACCGTTGGGGCCTTTAATTATACACTTTCTCCAACCTCAGGGTGAGCCAGGTTTAAATAATGCACCTTGAATGTTGAGAGACTCGGTGCATTTCGTAGACAAGGGTCTTTCGCGCAGCCAGTGCACAGCGGGAGGCATGGAGCACATGCTGCAGATGCTGTAAAGACGTCCTCATTCTCTCGGCGACCACCGTAACATCCAGAGATAGCCTACCTAGAAGGGAGAGCAAATTAAGCGAAAATGAGCAGTGGGCTAGCTTTGTGTGCAATATGGATTAATTTTTAAAATGCTATTTTTGTATTTTGTGACTCGCCCGCTGTAGCTAACTAGCCTGATTTCGGCCGAGGTCACCGTTGGCCAGGACATCGTCGTTAGTAAAAAGCTATCTTTCGGCGTTACTGAAAAAATAAAAAACATGGCAAATCGCGTTGTTACGGACGTTATGGTACATCTAAAAACACGTAAACAATAGGGGAACGGGAGTAATGGCAATAAATTGCTTCCTAACGATACTCAACCTTTTGAAAGCCAGTTACCCTCATTAATTACGCCGTAGATATTCTTTGCTCTTGACTACGGTACATACCAGTCGTGGAAAATCATTTTCCCCGCTCGAGCTTGATGGGCTTCGGGTAGCGCTCGTACCGCGTGCACGGTGGCGAAATCGTAGCCGCGCAGGTAAACGTGCCTCGGGCGCTTCCCTCCACAGCAACCCCTGGCGTCGCCCAACTTCCTGTACGACCTGGACCGGCTCACCTCGGAGACCATCAAGGTGGGATGATGCCTGGCCCGCCTTTGCCGCTGCCTCACGCCCGGGCACCTCTTCCCCGCAGGCCATTCTCAAGGAGCAGTACACGTGTGCGGAGGGAGACGAACTCGCAGTTCCCGGATGCTCCGAGAAAATATCCTTTCCGAGTCTAAACACCCGCTGAAATCGCTCGACACGGGAGAGTGTGTGACGCGACACCGTGGTCGCGAACGAGCGGTCCCCATTATCTTCTTCTCCTGTAGTCTCTCGGAATCGAAGGGATCTCGCATTCTACTACTAGTACGGTGGAAAGTGCTAATTCGAGGCACTGTTACATACCGGGAAATACTGGGGGAGCGCCCAGCCCACTTTCACTGAAAATCGGGCTAATTTAGACATGGGCGCATGGGCTGTTGTCCGGTCAAAGCAGCCGCTTAATTTTTAATTTGCTAAATTTTGAAGTTTCGGGAAATGTTAATAGTGGGTGCCTCTGCAGTATCTTACTGTAAGCGGTAAAATCTAATGCCCGCCAGTTCCCCTTAGAAAAGAGCGAAAACGTGGCAACGTCGTATTTGCGCCAATGGTGTTGCGCAGTGTACGTGCAAAGGCAGTGTTAAAAATAAGCGAAGGGCTTTCGAAAGTTTCCTAAGCGAGCATTTTGTTTGTGGCCTCGATGCGGGAAAAGGCCCGATGCGCCCAGGGTTACAATAAAATTGCTTGGATACAATATTCAGATGGGTTGGGGCATTTTAGTTGCTAAATTGTTTTAGTCTCGCGTTTAGGGAGTAGGGTGCGCTATTAATATTTTGTTATAGAGTCGCGCTGTTGAACATTCATCGGAAACAATTTTGACCGTCCAGACAAAGACAGTGGGGTCCCCTCGAGAGATTCCAGAGCTCCAATACATATTCCTCGGTCATTCCCAGCCCAACGTAAAGCATTCTTCCAGTCTGAGCACCAATTTAGAAGGTCCGACACTTTATCTATGCGAAACAACATGCGAGAGCTATACACTTTTTCACCAACTTCATTCTGCCAACGGCAAGGGAGATTTTACGTGTTTGTGTTTGGTTTTTTTGTTGCCTGCGGTGCTTCTTTTTCATTGTGCAAAGATATTTTATTGTCACACTTGCTTAGCACAGTGCGAGGGATGCGAAGCCTGCATGCTTTCTCGCTATTTGCATGGAGGGATGGGCCAAAGAAGAGTGTGAGGGGGCAGCCATCTTGTGCCAGTCCCTAGAAAACTCTATCTTAAGAGAACAATTATGAAGCTGTTAGCTTGCACAACCTTTGTGGTTCCTGTCCTGGAATATGAGATTGCCATTTTGGAGTTGTATACAAAAATCAAACATCAGTGGTCTGAAAATGATGAAGCAAGGAGCCGAGATTTACATCTGACGAATGTAACAGAGTAGGTATTTTCAGCGACTCGTTTGCTAAATACATTAATGGCAAGAACATTAATTTTTTTCCATAAAAAGGCTGATTTTAAAAATGAACATGTAGGTTATGAGCGACTGAAGTTGTTGAAATGTCTTTATTCAAAAGAAAACAGCAAAACCACCTTATCTGCGGATCTTGATAAATATCTCCCCGAGAGAGGAGAGGGGAGTGCCAACATCTGAAGAGTGCTCTCGTGCAGTTTAATTTCTTCCCGCTGCACAGCTAACTTGTTAATCAGTGACTTTTTCTGCCTATTGCAAAGTAAAAAGTATATTCCGGGACAGTTCTAATGCATTTTTCTTTTTTCAGTCTCGTATAAATTTAATTTAAGCCAATAAATCATTCAATAGAGTAAGACCAAACGAAAGGCTCATCCTTAGCTTTTCCCGACTGACATTTAACGAGGAATGCACCAGTGGAATTTTTTTTTTTTTTTACTTAACTGAAATTAATAAAAATGTTGAAACTGTCAAGGATGCCTAAACATTGTTAGACTTGGCAGAACAGTGTTATTATAGGGATAAACTATACTTTTGTTACAAAATTGTTTCACAGGGGGACTTATCAGACATTTGTTTCATTATAAAGTTAGAGAATTATTGATAGATATACAAACCATGGAGAGGAGAAGCATGTATGCAGTGTCTCTTATTAATAGTTTCTTTTTAATGTTGCTTTTTAAAGAAACGCTTCAAATCCCCAGAAAGACACTTTTCTTAATATAATAAGGCACGTCGTAAGATAAACCCCCCCCCCCCCCCCCCCCTTCCTCATAAAAAAAAAAGAATGAGCTCTAAAATATCATTTTGGGGGGAAAGTTCATTTTATGAAATTATGTTTTCCGGGAGTTCCCTTTGAAATGTGTGGCAGGGTTTTCCTCAGCCCGCAGTGCAGGTGGTGCTGCACCACAGGTTTGGGGCGGGGGAGCTGACGCGGCTGCGACGCCAGTTCCTGGTGTACACCAAGAGCCATCCCGTGGACGACGTGGCCAAGATCCCAAACCTGTTTGTGCACTACCTCAACACCACCGCCTCCTGACCGGACGGACGCCACAGAGGCCTGGCAGCGACGGGTTAATAAAGGCCCATTTTCGGGCGGAAGGAGCGTTTTCGAGCCACTGCACGTTTTGGGGCCAATCCTCAAAAAGAAGGCTCTCTCTCTCTGGAACCACACCGGCTACGTCAGGCCTCCCTTTCGTAGCTCCTGCTCCCGACACTGGGCAGGAGCTAAGAGAGGAAACGGTTTGGCAGACATCTTGGGACGGACGATGGGCACACTCCGGAGCTTTCTCACGCTGATCGGTTCCAGCAGTTTCTGACTGGAACCGAAGCCTTCCTTCGCTACGCACAAATATATTACAGGCCGTCTGCCAAGTTGACATTTGCAAATTCCCCGAGTCTTCCAGGTTTTTTCTGAGTACTTTTGTGAAATTCCACGAGTGACACAGAACTTTGTTTTAGGTCAAGATGAACTTACACCATGTCGCCAGATGCTGTCACTCTCTAAAAAGCACGTTATAAAATGAAAAAAAAAAAAAAAAAAAAACCAAAACAAAACATGATACAGTTTTAATGGTAAGGAGTAACTTTTATCAGGTTCAAAAAGAAAACAGAACGCAGTGGTTAGTAAAATTCACAGCAAATAAAATATAAGAAAAAGGTAAACTGAGGTTTACGTAACCCCCCCCCCCCCCCCCCATGTGACCTCGGGGGGGGGGGGGGGGGGGGTCACAAATAGGGGTGTCGCGAACCGGTCGCGGTTCGAGTTCGACCAGGTTAGACTTTTTCAAACTTTTAGTGGAAAGTGCGACGAACCTTGTATTGAGGTTCGACTCGTGTGCGCATGCGCGACAGGCTGGCCAGTTGGCTTCGGATTGGATGGTAATGGCTAAGAGATGAACTAAGTGCAGCGCTGATTGGCTATTTCAGTCAATACAGTACTAAAAATTAAGTTGTTAACTTCTTCAGTGATTAAAATTAGTTTCTTTTAATTGCAGCTGTTCACAAAATAAAATAACCCCTTGCATAAAAAAAAAATTCTCCAAACCTAGACATGCTTGTATTAAGGTCTGGCCACACTGTCCATAAAGTCGAACCGGTCGAATCTGGTGAAAAGTTTGAAGGTTCGTCGAACCGGTTCGACTCAGTCGAACCCCGGAAGTTCGACCAAAAAATCTGGTTCGACAAAAGTTCGTGACACCCCTAGTCACAACCTCAGGGGGGTCACGTGACCTCACGGTTACGCCGACGGCGATGCCGGTCAAGCTGGAAACAGGCACCTAAAAGCTGTGTTCTAAAGAAAACGGGAGCAATAACAGGGAAAGAAAAAGGTAAACAAAGATAAGGCGTTCAAAGAGCGATTGCTAAACCTTTGTCAACATAATCCACTTGACGAAATCATTTTTTTTTCTTTATTTTGGGGCTAAGGAGCGGTGTTTTGGGAAAAGAGCGACCATTCCAACAGCGGGCACTCCCTGCCTTCCCTTAGTGCGCAAGGGTTGGCGTGGGTGCCCTTCCAATTGCTTCTGCCATCCTCCACTTTTTTGTTTTCATTGGTTGCTTTTTTTTTTTTAATTTTTTATACAATTGCCTTTTCGCAGCGTATCCCCGCAAGCGCGTATGCTGGCTTGGCGGTCTGCCAGCCCCACAACCCGAGCTATGTGCTCTCCGCCGGCGCAATCCGACCCCGGGCCGTGCTTCGTCTTCGTTCGCTACATCGAGTGTCCCCGCCATGGGAGTTATGGGCGTTCGATACAGAAAAACAATGTGATTTTCTAGGGGATGTTTGGACTGTTTCATATAAACAATAATTCGAAATACACGGGTGTGATATAACCGGGCTCGACTGTACGTTTGGCCCATTCCATTGATATCTGAAGAATTTTGGACTGCAAAAGTCCATCTGTAACACTTTAAAAAACAAAATTCCCTGATTGAAGCACAAATTCCCCGAGATTTTCCAGACTACATCAAAATCCCTCAGAATTCCCTGTTTTCCCGGTTGGTAGACACCCTGTATTACTTCCTTCTTCGGAATATGCGGTAGGTCCACTTTTATGTGGACCCCTCGGTATCACGACCGACAAAGTATTGGCCACTTTCCTAGGAATGTTTTGTCCTCCCTTTTGGGAATTCCCAGTGGACGGACAGATGGATGTTAATGGCCTTTATAATGGCTGGTAGCTTGTGCCACCCCACCTACAAAAAGTGTGGGGCAGCGCCGGCAAATTTGTTCGCGTAAGTTTAATAAAAAAAAAAATTGGTTGATACGGACAGACTGCAAAAATATCTCGGCGGCGCAAATGTAGCGGTACGTAACATCTCTGAAAGAAAGCCCCGCGTGCGCTATTACCACACTCAATTCCAAGCCGAGAGCCTCCACTTTCACCAGCAACCGTAAAATACCGCAGAAGCGCCCACATTGTTTCAACGCACACTATTAACATTTCTCAAACTTGAGAATTTTGAAAATTATACTATAACCAAAAACCAATCCAAAATTTTTAAATGTTCTCATTAACGGCAAAGGAAAAGAAGTTGACAATTTGAGGAAGAAATATATGACCGAGTTGTTAGTCAGCGCTGCGAGTCTGTTTCCTTCTCGTGTGCCTGCGAGTGCGACTGTACACCTGTGCTGTTCCATCCAAGCATGAATTACCAACTAGCCCAAGCATCCACATTATCAATTTCCAACCCCTACCTTTTCTTGAGCATCGGTAGACCGAAAATAATTTATAAAAAATTAACTATGAAGTGGAAACTGGATGTTGGTGGATGTAAATATGGCATTTTTTCAAAATCAACTTTTTTTGCAGAAATTGTTTTTTCTGGGTAGTGTCCCCCCTTAATAAACAATTAGCAAAGAGCACCTGATGGATGTCGCCAACGCCTCGTATGTAATGCCCGTCTAGGAACCTTGACAGGCAGTGACGATAACTGTCTCACCTCCAGCCACGACGAGAGAAGAGGGGAAGGAGGAACTCGCCAATTCCCGAGACTCTCTTCTGTGTCCTAAAAGTCACTATTGTCCCTCTACAAGAAACAGCACTGGGGCCCTAAACTCGTGAAACACAAAGTTGGAGCCAAAAGTTCGCGGAGCGCGCCGATTGGACATCGGCGAAAAAAGCGCGAAGTCATCGTCGCGATAGGCCAATCGGTACGCTCCGTCAACTTCGGCCCCAACTTTGTGTTTTACGAGTTTAGCGACCCAGTTCTGTTGATAATGTCTATACTTTTATCCAAGCGTCTCTTCAATTTATCAAACTTGCGTGCCCATTTTTTTGCTCTTCTGTGCAGTCTTTAAATGTCAAGTTTCTTCTTTAGTCACAAAACATGGCCGTCGGGCGAGAGTGAGGAGGGGCTCATCCAGGGTGTAAGATAGACAGGTGGGGAAACGGCCCATAGAAGTCTACCGCAGCGCCGTGACCGGATTGTGTACTCGTCTGCTTGCGGGTACCCCTTACTTGCGACAGATGGCGCTGCGGCGAGAGGAAAAAAAATGGGAATCGGATTTGCATGGAATTCTTTGGGAGAATGCGCAAAACAAACCAAGAGCACGACAGTCTTCCATTGAAAATCCACGAGAAATTATTTCCGTCAGTTTAGCCGGTCGCCACCGGTCGCCCACCCAGAGTGAGAGTTTGCGGTGCTCCACATAGATGGCGCCACAGAAAAAGAGAAACCTGAGGGGGACACAATCCGGTCGCTAGTTTGGCTCTCGTTTCCCCACCTGTCTATCTTACACCCTGGGTTCATCCGTATTTTGCCTTCGTGTGTTCGGTACAGTGCGATGGAATGGACGTGCCAAGACCCACCCGGTTAGCCTTCGTGGACAGGCGGGATTGTATGCGCAATTTTCATCTTCAGATGCTGGTGACCAGATGTTAATCAAGGGGTTTGCATCATACGCTACAGCCACGGTGTAGGAAGACTCTTTAGGTGTAGAGACTCCGCTCTCCGCCGCAACCAGATAATGACACCCCGCGCGCTTCGCTTCATGGAGCCACCCCCAGATGGCGCTGTAAGTTTCAGGCCATCCGGCAGTGCACCGGACCGCCTGTGCTAGCTGCCTGCTCGGCGTGCAGCTTGCCTTCCGGTGGCTACCGCTTCGCGTACTATGTGGTATGTACGTGGGGCCGTTCAACTATCGTCTCTCTCAGCATACTGAAGTTTTCTTAACCCGAAAAATGGCAGACAGACAAACAAGAGTAACTCCCTAATACCAGTCGACGCAACAATCTACGAGTGGAAAAAAAAAAAAAAACCCTCTTCAGTAAATAATTTTTAGCCTAGCTTACATTTCGCCGTTTGTTTCCTCAGTAGCGCAATAGTAAAGTCGGTAAGCGTTTGTGAAATGAATTAACTGATTGTACCACAGGTAAACGATAACTTCAGTGCGATCGAAAGAAAAAAAAGAATGCACAAAAATAAAGAATGACTAACACAAACCTTAATAACGGATAATACGGAACTGAATTGTTGTAAGCACTGTTCAGATAACTTTTCTATAATAAAAAAAAAAAAAAATGAGGGTTTGCAAATTTCAGTTGATTCAACTGGACTATTAAATTTTTTTTTTTAAACATGTAGGGCAGCTAACGTGATTATTTTACATTTTAAGGCAGCCTTTGGGTCCTGCTAAATTGAACTGCTGATCGAATCGGCACGAAGTTGCACATCTTGCGCAGCATGTGGCAACAGAACTGGTCGTTTTGGAACGTCGGGCAAGACTTCACTCTTGAGTTCACCATAGTATTTTGTCCTCAACACCATATCCTCTGAGAAGTGCTTGGCGCACACAGTGTCTTTCGACATTGGCCTCCGATCCTTGCGAGGAATCGCTCGTGCTCATTGTGCCAAACGCTCGGGGTCTGAAGGAGCGCTGAACAATCTCACCTTTTCTTTGCAACTCTTGTAGTCGGAATTACAATTTGGAACAAAGCACTTGCGTCCCATGCTCACCAATGTCGGTCCATGCCGGTGCTACAAGCTGAGATGCACAAAAATGCAGTCCAAGCAAAACAGCGGAACCGAAAAAAAGCTGAGCACAGTTGTAAACCCGAGACTAGAGATACGGACAAGGGACTGTTATGACCCGTCTCAGTCTCCCTGTGTTTGCGAGAATTGACTTTGCATTACGGTGCGGACGCCGACCAAACGAACGACGAGACGGTTGGCGTGCAATCCGAACCCTTTTGCACGTTCGACTGAAACCGGAGAAGCGTTTCGGACATCGGAACCGACGGTGCCGTCGGTGTTGTTTTCTCTACGACGTCTGCCTTCCACGAGAACGTTGCCGTTGGTGTGCTCTTTCTACGGCGTCTGCATTCCACAGGAACGCCAGACAAAATCCGACCCTGAACAGATGGGCAGTCTGTTGCGTCTGCGTCTACCGCATGCAAGACAATCCTCTACGAGGCGCCTCCAATTCGAAGAGAACAACGACCGAGCATCAAGCCAAACACCATTGTAAAAAAAAAAAAAGATGTAAACAATTAGAGGCGGCGTAAGCAATGGGTGACTAGCCCACGTTCTGGCGCGAGGGTTGGCGACCGGGAGGCCTGAACGTTTTGGCGCCCTCTAGGGGCAGGCGGAGAAAACGTAGGAAAGGAGGGGACGTGATGTGTTCGTCGTTCCGACGGGGCGAGGAGAGGAGTCTCTACACCTAAAGAGCCTTCCTACACCGTGCCTACAGCACATGCCAGCAGGTCGCAGCATCCGTTGTCCTTGTAGCCATTGCACGACGTGTTTGGTGCTTAAAAGTGTGGTTTCAAGATGGCCACCACAGAGAAGGAACAGTGCCAGACACCAGTCAATGCATCGAAAGAAGCATGTTTGTGGAAAGGGCTCAACTTATTCTCTGGAACAGACTGTTAAAAAAAAAGTGACGCAAAATGAAGCAGACATTGCGCAATTCCACTGTCTTAGAAGACGGCGACGAGTCGTCGAATAAAGGTTACGTGTATTTACAGAGTGGGTACATCGGGCTGGACCAGCAGTCCCTTGGCGGCCATGGTCAATATGCGCAGTCTTTATATCCTAGATGCGTACGAAAAGATGTCAAAATTACCCTTTGCTCACGTGTTTTAACCGATTATGTGGGAACAATTAAAGAAGCTTCGTAGTTATTGAGAGGTAATTAAGCGAAAACAAATCCAAAAGACCAACCAGCTGGCAGGTTGGCTACTACCAAATTATCACACGCACAAAAAAAAAAGCGACACTCGAAAAGCTGGCATGAGCTGCTCCTTAACCTTTCGATGTCGAGTGTGTGAAACAAAATGGTACGAAAGGTTTTCAAACGTGTCTAAAAAAATACAAATGAAAGGAAATGGCTCCATACAGCAACGTGACGTCACGTCGAGTACGATTGACAGAAATTTGGTAGTTGCACTTTGAGGTAGTCGCAATTTTCCAATCTCTTCGCACCTCGTTCGATAACTCATCGAGGACCGCAAGAACCTGTTCCGACACGCCCACAAACTCCGTCGTACCACTGGCAGAGCGACGGGTAATGAAAACGAAAACCGGCATGTTTAAGATGGCCGCCCTGGGTGTGCAGCCTGGGAAAAGGAAAGAGCACGCGGCGGCGGGAGAAGCCTCAGGCGGTCTCATCAGCCAGTTCGAGGATGGTGTTGCTGTAGGCCAGGTCCCAGTAGTGCTCCACGCCGTGCTTCTTGAAGTGTTCGCGTGCAAAGCACTCCGTCGGGCACACCTTGAACTTCATCTCCCCGAAGCTGCGGGACTTCACCGTGCCCTGGTGGGAGACATAAAAAACAGAAAATTTGAGGTGCGAGCGAGCAACAAACGTTTCTCGTAAGAAGATGGAACCTACGAGACCAACTCAAAGTGGCGCGTTTCCCCGGAGACGCCAGAAATGGACCGAAGTCGCGTCCGATTTTTTCCGCGGCGGTGTTTGTGACGCCGGACAATCCCTTTGTCCGATAGACTGGCCCTTGCACCGAGTGTGCGAGTATAGTCTCGTATATATTTTTGTATAGGGACGAATCGAGCGTAGGCCCACCCTTAAAAATGCACCCAAAAGACGACGAGGAAAAGCAAACCACAGAAAAGCAGTTTGTGTTTTTTTTCCTTCTCATCTTAGCGATAGATCCGCTATATCGATTGGAGGAACTCCTCCGCCCTTTGATAAGCGGAGGTCCTCCCCGCTGTCGACGACGTCTATCTTGTGCACACGCTACTTGTAGGTACAGCTGCCTCTAATGTGTGGTATCATTCCTGGGGGTGTGGCAAATACATCTTGTTCGCAGAATTAACCTAGATTAGCGGCTTTGTGCGTACCATCGCCGGCACGAGCAGAGAAAGTTACGCAAGTTGTTTGCCGCGCTACGATAAAACAGAATGTGACAGGACCCCGTCGTCTTGTGGAGCACGTGCCCTCGCCGGCAATGTGTGCGTGCTGAGCCAAATTTCGCAACCGAAAACATGCGGTGTGCCAGAGCTGCGAGCGGTCCATCTCTGGTTTCTCTTTTCTTTCTCACTTGTCCCTGCCGCCAAAACTATTTCTGCGACCTAACGTTTGGTTTCATGCTTGATGACAACCTAAGTGGTAGAATGTATGAAAATGACGATTCCACAATCTGTTTTACTTTGTCCCATCCTAAACGTATGTGCGGCCTTCAGTTATTTTGAGTCTACGGGGATAACAAAACACTTTGAACTGAGCAAAATGTTTATCAAAACACTCTCACTTGTACTACATCTTTCTTCATTAGTACTTGCCTACCTGAAACAAAACTGACTTTCTGCCAATTTGAACCGTTTTGGACACAGCATGGTAAGCCCACCACGCACACCACAGTTTCCTCTCGTTGCCCAACGGCAAACATAAAATTTCCGGCATCATACTCGTACTTCCAACGTCGTTATTGACACTAGAGCTGGAATTCCTAGCACGAGAGTTGTCAAAGAAAGTCTCCTCCAATTTTCTTCTTCTTCTTCTTCCTTTTCAGAAAGTGGAGCTGGCTCATGGACACCACCGTCACCACAGCCGCCATCGGAATGACACGGCGGCCGGTCTCATGGTGGACCGGGCCACCAAGGACGTCGGCGCGCCAGGGGCAGCCCAGAGAACCATGGACCACGTGCAGAGCAGCCACCTGCTGGAGGCCTGGTCCAGAACAAGCTCAAGTGACAAGCTGGAGCTGACCGAGCCGCTGCGCTCGTCAGCAGCCGCCGCGCTCGTCCAGCAGGCGCCGGCCGGACTTACAACGTCAGTCCGCCCAACAGCGCCATCCACCCCCTGACGCCCACAACGTCTCCCGTCATCGACATGCCGGACGAAGCTTGAGGGGGGGGAAGTGTGGGCACCCTGGCGGCTCCCCAGCCAAGTTGCCCGACTGCGAGGCAAAGGTGCCGAAGTTTTCCCGCGTGGCGGCGACGTCACGCCAGCCACGCGCACATCGGATGCGCCGCCTTGATAAGGCAGATCAGAGGCGGCGCACGGGGAGTCGCTGCCTGGACTCCGGCACCGCCGGTAGCAATGTTAATCGTCTTGTCCACGTCCCATTAAATGTAGTTTCTTGTTGTTGAAACCGTCGGCTCCGTGTTATTCCTCCGGGTCGGGTATGCAGCAAGGCAAACCGACCACAAAAGTTAAATTCAGTTATCTTTATTTTTATACAAAACTTGAAAGTATAAAAACAGAGAGGACGAGGACGGGAATAGGACAACAAAGATGTCCTGTTCCCGTCCTCGTCCTCTCTGTTTTATACTTTCAAGTTTTGTATCTATCAACCAACACGCTTGTTTTCAATTGTTTATTTTTATCTTTTTCTAGTATTTTCATCTTCCCTTAATTTTCTCTGTGACCAAAGCGGTTCTTCGCAGGGTGATGGGCATCATATAAATGTTGCTCGTTGAAGAAACTGAGTGTTTGTCCCTCGTATATTTTCAGAGTTTTTATGCTTTCTGTGTGAACTGCAGTCTATCCAACGTGCTCTGTTATGTGTACCTATGTGCTATCTCATTGCTTTCTTAGACGGATGACGTTTAACCTTCAACCGGACAATATAGTCGTCAAATGGTCTATTTCCTGAGCTGTGCCTTCCGCCAACAAAACCACAAGCACCCGCTACAGTCGAACCCAGTTATAACAAAGTCAATGCGGTTTCGAAATATCTTTGCTATAGTAAGTCGTATTTCGCTCTACACATCATGGTCACACTGCATATAGCATAGGCTTCCATAATGGGTGCTGCTCTGCTTTTGCATATTTGAAGTGCAAAGGAGCCACAATAAAACCACGTTTCACTTCATTACAATAGAAGCTACGAGCGCGTGTTGTAACACGTCGCAACACGCCTGAAAGTGTGCTTCTCTCACGAGAGCTCGCGTGCTGCAGGAGAGCGTGCATTAAAACGAGGCGCCTCAGATGTGCATGATGTGTGCGCACTACTTTGGTGCGACTAGACAGCACGCCGTGAATATGGTATGTAGGTACAATATGCAATTTGAACAATCAACAAAAAAAAAAAAAGAGAAAAAGTATGATAGGAGGAAGCTTTAGGCAGTAATAGATAAAATGAGAAGCAACTTTCTACAAGTTCATTCTGCGTGCATGTCCTCCGGCAGCCGTGAGCATGTCCCGCGGTCTAGACGAGCCTTGGACACGGGCCGATTGTTGCAAATGCGTTTTCGCGTACCCTGATTCTTTAGAAAGACAGAGACGCGATTCCTACATTCTCAGGCGCGTTCGAAAAATCATTTTCTTTCCTTCTTTCGGACGGTGCTGTAACGCAACCGAAAAGCGTGTAGAATCTCGATATCCGGAACACGCTCCGGTGACTGGCTAGCTCTGCAAAGCACGTGATCGAAAAGCACCCAGAATGTCGAAATCCGGAACACGCATGCAAGAGGTACCAGAGAGATTCACTCTCGCGTAATCCGTGAGTCATGTCATCGAAACGTGCTCTGCCTTAGCAATGAGCGTCTCCCTTCAACAATGAAGCTAAACAACAACTTCCACGCGTCAATTTGCGTCGACCGCTGCTACAGGCAACACCGACTTGGTCGCAGATTCGCCGTCGTCGTCGCTCTCCCTCGCAGGCTCTGCGAGTGAGAGCGAACGCCATTTTCTGGTAATTTTCGAAAAAAATAACTCCAGCGCTTTGAGGTTTTCTTTTGTTCTACCCGCAGCGCCGCCGCCACTTTGTTCAATAAAAATGGGATAAAATTCCATTAAAATTCTAGCAGCAGGAGCATGCAATAAACATTCGTTAGTTACATCCAATATTCGGCTATAGCTGGGTTCATTGTAAGTAAGCTTGACTGTAGTACTTAAGATATGAACAGGTCACACTCACCTCCCAAACCAGAATGCAGCGGTTCTCCACTTTCTGTCCATTTTCCGCTGCGAGGAATAAAACCCAACGAGAGAAATTATTGCGACACTAATTTTCTGCCCTGGCAACTTGGAATTGGGCATTGTGCATAGCCTAGTCAAGCGTACCCAAGCGACCTTGAGCCAACGAGAAAAAGCATCAATCACAATTGGCTGGAGCTATCCATCACGACGAGCCATAATACCCTCGGTGCACCAGCAAGCTAAACTGTCATACAGCCAACGACGGTTGGCTCAATCGTGACCGGTCGGAGTTACACTTATTGAGCCACTAATGACAGCTGAGCTGCCCGTCAACTTCACATCAACCGGTTGCACTTGGCTAAGTGAGTTCCCCATGCTGGCTCCTGCGGTGATGCCACCTACGGCCAGCACTAGCAAAGCACTCGATGCAGGCGCGACTCGAGTTGAGGCAGCAAAAAAAGACGATAGAACGACGCCGACGATTCTGTCGTGGTCGCCTCCGAGCAAAGCCGAGCCAGGTGTGCCCTGCTGGATGGAAGTAAATGCCCCCTACCCTTTTTCTCGAGTGGATCTCTCCAGAGTGAATACTAATAGACAACCCTGTTCAACTCTTTCCTTACTGCACCTATTCCGATCTATCAATTTCGTCGACGCGATTAAAACACCTATTTCGACGCGTTCTGTGCTGTGTTTAAATGTGCAACGCCGTCTCGGACATTACTCAAAGCAGGAACTCTGCTCCGAGTTTCGATTTCTGTTTTTGCTTTTCCGCGAGGGGGCGATTTTTTGCGCGACTTTCAAGTTCAAGGATTGTGGACGATCGCATCAACCACGGCGTCCTCGTTGCGCACCGACGCTTCTCAAAAACGTTGTCTCACTCGACGTTCCGGTGCTGTGCAATCAATTTCGTGGATGAAAGTGGCAGCAGTGAGTCGGAAGCTGGCATACATTCATTGGATTTTAGTTTGGATTGTGGCAGTGGGTCGATCCAGCCGAAATTACCCTCAGGTGCCTATCGGTATGTTTCGTTTTGTGTGCCGAGGGCGTTTATTGCCTCTGCGAGCTTCCGTGGTTGTACTGGCTGTGTTCCGAATGCATTATTTTTCATTTGCAGGCTGTTAACCTCGTATAGACTCCACTTTATGCCATCAGCAGCAAAATGATTAAAGTTTGCTTTGGTCGGGGCTTTGGGGAATAGCACAGTCATCACGGGGGCTAACTCGTCTTCTGCAGAACAATACTTTTCACACAGAGGCTTTTCACACTTACAGGAGTTGTTTCTAAAAGAGTAACATACAAAACATTAATTTTTTTTATTTTTCTTTACTCCTAATAATAACGTAACGACCTCCGACCAGTCGTTGCATCATAAGAGGATCTTTTGGCCGCCTAGCGCGTGTCGCTCGAGGGCCGTGCGTGCAATTGCAAGCTCACCAGGTGTATTCCCAAGCGCTGGTACCAGTCGCGACATCTTTTTCTGCCCTTTTAAAAATAGCAAGAGAGTGCATGCGTAGCTTTGATAGGGGCCGAAGCTGCGCGAGAGCGAGATTCCGAAAACCTCTTTCGTGACGTCACGCTCCGGGAAGGAGCGTGACGTCACGAAAGGTACTTCAGCAGTACTTTGAAAATTATTTTTCTGCTGCCCTCATGCATCAAGTTACAAAATAATTTTGATGTTCGAGATCCTGGAGGTCGAATGAAGACGATTTAAGTGTTTCCTCAAATACAAAACTGCCTCAGCTTCCCTATAACACATATACACGAGTACTTTGCACTGGCAGAGGTCGGCATTTTAGGTCGCCCTCACCCTCACAGCCACACTCACCTAAGCCCCTCACTCACCCTCACCCTCACAGCTACACTCACCTTCAGCCCCTCACTCACCCTCACAGTCACACTCACCTTCAGCCCTTCACTCACCCTCACTGAACCTCACGGCCCTCACGCACTCACGGCTCTCACGTCCCTCACCGCCCTCATGCCCCTCACTCACTCATGGCCCTCACACCACTCACCGCCCTCACACCACTCACCGCCCTCACGCCACTCACCGCCCTCACGGCCCTCACCGCCCTCACGCACTCATAGCCCTCACGTCCCTCACCGCCCTCACGCCCCTCACTCACTCATGGCCCTCACGCCACTCACCGCCCTCACGCCACTCAAGCCCTCACGCCACTCACCGCCCTCACGCCCCTCATCGCCCTTCCGGCCCTCACACCCCTCACGCCCCTCACGCACTCATGGCCCTCACGGTGCACTCAGGCCAACTTCAGATGGGGCAATTTCGCCCAGAAACTTTACGTCGCAACACCAGCAACACGGGCCGCCGGCGATCACACGCAGCAACCAATTGATGCAATTTGCCATCGTCATCATAAAATGTTATTTTTCTTGCACTATTTAGACACAATTACGCGTTATAAATGTGTTTTTACGCATTTAAATCTCGTTAAGAATACTAATGCACCTTTCTGAAACAGTTTATTTCCAAAAAACGATCGATTTCAAACCAGAACCAAGTCTTTCAGTGTCATCATCACCGGCACGAGGTATCACGTAAAAATTTTGCGTCCCTATTTGGATGTAGCCGCTTCAAACGTATTCGAATTGCTCCGAGTTGCTTGCTTATTTCGAGCCGGACCCGATCTCAGCAATTCGTGTCAATCTAGGGAAAGCTAGAGAACAACCCGCCATAAGCACCAAAATTGCTGAGAAAGATGCTCGATCTGAAGGGGGCCTCACGCACTCACCGCCCTCATGGCCCTCACACTCCTCATGCACTCACCGCCCTCACGGCCCTCACGCCTCTCACGCCACTCACTGCCCTCACGCACTCATGGCCCTCACACCCCTCACGCACTCGCCGCCCTCACACCACTCACGCACTCATGGCCCTCATGCCACTCACCGCCCTTACGCCCCTCATGCACTCATGGCCCTCATACCCCTTACCGCCCTTACCGCCCTGATGGCCCTCACGGTAGTGATGCAAAACTATAGATAAATTGACTATCGATACTATTGATAGTTTGTCCAAAACTATCGATAGTGTCTCAGAACTTTCGATAGTCGACTATCGATAGTACTATCGATAGTTTTTCGATAGTCGACTATCGATAGTTTTTCGATATTCGACTATCGATAGTACTATCGATAGTTTTTCGATAGTCGACTGTCGATAGTACTATCGATAGTTTTTCGATAGTCGACTATCGATAGTTTTTACTATACTGGCGGCTAACGATACTGTCGATAGTGCTATCGATAGTCTTGCACCACTATAGTCCGTTACAACTCAAGAAGGTAGGGTGAAGGTAAGACGGGCCGGGGAGGAGGAAGCAGACGGAACGCTTTAGAGAGAAGGAGGTTTCACCCTTCCTTCTCCAATGTTCCGTCTGCTTCGTCCTCCCCAGCCCGCCTTACCCTCGCCCTACCGCTCGCCTCCCCCTTCTCCTCTCCTCGCCCAAACTCCCGTCTTCGTCATCACTGAAAGCTGAACGAAAGTTGGGATGGTAAGTGCCTGGCCTAATTGGTGTCCCATTTGAAAAAAAAAAAATAATAAATAAAGCGATAAAAAGAGAAGAGGGAGCGACGGAAACTACTAGTGTCTCAAAACTATCGATAGTAAATCGTCGACAGTACCATCAATAGGTTTACGATAGTCAACTATCAATAGTTTTTTTATATTTGATTAACGATAGTCGACTATCGATAGTTTTTCGATAGTCGACTATCGATAGTACTATCGATAGTTTTTCGATAGTCCCTTCTCCCCCTTCTCCTCTCCTCGCCCAAACTCCCGTCTTAGTCATCACTGAAAGCTGAACGAAAGTTGGGATGGTAAGTGCCTGGCCTAATTGGTGTCCCATTTGAAAAAAAAAACGATAATAAATAAAGCGATAAAAAGAGAAGAGGGAGCGACGCAAACTACTAGTGTCGCAAAACTATCGATAGTAAATCGTCGACAGTACCATCAATAGATTTACGATAGTCGACTATCAATAGTTTTTTGATATTTGATTAACGATAGTTTTCTGATAGTCGACTATCGATAGTTTTTCGATAGTCGACTATCGATAGTACTATCGATAGTTTTTCGATAGTACTATAGATAGTTTTCCGATAGTCGACTATCGATAGTTTTCCGATAGTCGACTATCGATAGTTTTTCGATAGTCGACTATCGATAGTACTATCGATAGTTTTTCGATAGTCGACTATCGATAGTACTATCGATAGTTTTTCGATAGTCGACTATCGATAGTACTATCGATAGTTTTTCGATAGTCGACTATCGATAATACTATCGATAGTTTTTCGATAGTCGACTATCGATAGTACTATCGATAGTTTTTCGATTGTCGACTATCGATAGTACTATCAATAGTTTTTCGATTGTCGACTATCGATACTACTATCGATAGTTTTTCGATTGTCGACTATCGATAGTACTATCGATAGTTTTTCGATAGTCGACTATCGATAGTACTATCGATAGTTTTTCGATAGTCGACTATCGATAGTACTATCGATAGTTTTTCGATAGTCGACTATCGATAGTACTATCGATAGTCGACAATCGAAAAACTATCGATAGTACTATCGATAGTTTTCTGATAGTTGACTATAGATAGTACTATCGATAGTCGACTATCGATAGTACTATCGATAGTTTTTCGATTGTCGACTATCGATAGTACTATCGATAGTCGACTATCGATAGTACTATCGATAGTTTTTTTCACTATCGATAGTCAGATTTCTGGCGACTATCGATACTATCGATAGTACTATCGATAGTTTTGCACCACTACCTCACGGCCCTTACCGCCCTCACGGCCTTCACAGCCCTCACGGCCCTCACTCACCCTCACACTCATGAATTTTCCTGGTTCAGAAACACACTCACCCTCACCTCACCTGTGAAGATGAGGGTGAGTGAGGGCCCTCATGAGTGAGGTTTGCCGAGGTATGTCCACCGGTGAGTGAGCGCCTTTTCTCTCCCACTTCTTTATTGTTTGGCCTAAATAAAACAACACAAT